AGAGAGAGAGAGAGCACACAAGCAGGGGGAGGGGCAGGCAGAGGGAGAAGTGGGCTCCCTGCTCCGGGACTCAATCCCAGGACCCCAAGATCATGACCTGAGCCGAAGGCAAATGCTTAATCGACTAAGTCACCCAGGCACCCCTGGCTTAGCTTTTCATCATCTGGAACAGAAGACAGTTCTGACCAAAACAGACTCCACTCTGAGATAAAGCCAGAGCTACTCATGTATTTACACCCCCACTCTTCCGTGTTGGAAAGTATATGCCACAGTCAACCAGGCACCAGGCACGCTCTTAAAGCCTGGGCTGTTTTCCTCCAGGCGATGAGTTTCATCTGCACCTCGAACCTTTTCTCTGGCTCCTTCCCCAACTTTATAGAGACAAGCAGCAGACGGCAACAATGCTCCTGGGGCAGGGTCTGGTTCTGTGTGCAGGGCCTGCTGTGGGGCTGAGCACAGAGGACTCCATGCCTACTGGGACCTCCCCACCAGCACCCTGCATAGAACTGACGTTTCTAAGCTGAGCCTTAAAACTGCTCTGCAGAAGAAAAAGCAAGAAGCTCACCTCAATCTGATCAACAGTTGCAGCGACACATCAGATTTTCCACAGAAATGCCGCTTCCTCTGACTTCCTGTTTATGAACCCCTCATGAATCTCTGGGGTCACACTCCACGATGCTGGCTAACTGAATATACTACTGAATAGGTTTTTACTTTTGGTTTTCAAAACCAATGTCCACGGACATTCGACCCCAACAGCAAAGTGGAAAGATGCCACTCTAACGCCCCCAGCCCCCATCTACAGAGGGCGGGCAGCGATGAGCTCTAGCTCACTCCACAAGAACATGTGAGACCTGACTCCAGCGGCCCTTCATCCCCTCTGTCTCCAAATCCAGCCCAACAACTGTGGGCAAGAGTTTGGGAAATCAGAATAGGAAACCAAAACCCGTCACCACCAAAACAAGGCGGAAACTTTTCTAGAGCAAGTACAGCACAGCCATGCTGCTGTCTCCAGGTCTGAGGGCTACACCAGACACCCCGGTGTGTGGCTCGGCGGCCTCTTCTCTCCAGCAGGGCTGGCACGAGTGTACCCCGAGCGTGCTGGGCACGAGAAGCTGGGGGAAGACAGAACCATGCACACCGCACCACGGCGGTCCAAGGCAAATACGAGGACAGTCACATGTAGTTTTACCCTTTCTAGGAGCCGTGATAAAAAAAATTTAATGGGCTCCTGGGTGGCTCAGTCGGTTAAGCATCTGCCTTCGGCTCAGATCATGATCCCAGGGTTCTGGGATCGGGCCGTGTTGGGCTCCCTGCTCAGCGGAGAGCCTGCTTCTCCCTCTACCCTTCCCCCCTGCTCATGGTCTCTCTCTCTCTCTGTCAAATAAATAAAATCTTAAAAAGAAAAAATTTTTTTAAACAAACAAGTAAATTGATCTTAATAACAACATATTTTAACCCAATACATGACAGATACTATTTCAACATGTATCAGATTTCAAAAAAAATGACTCTGGAGATAGTCTAAACTTTTTTGTACTGGAGCTTCAGAATCTGGTGCGTCCTGCGCACAGGTCAAGAGCTCTGGGGCCACCTGTGGCTGGTGGCTGCCATGCTGAATACGCAGACCTAGGCTACCAAAAGGCCACATAAGTGGTGAATTTCTAATTAAGGGTTCTTCACTGCCACACTTTATTCTCCAACTAGCCATGTACAAGCCGGTCTTCACGAGAGTAAAAGTCACAGTTTGGAGACCAGCGGTATGCAACACATGCCGACGTCGCAAACGCACAGACCCGAAGTAAAGCTGTTGCTGGGAAGCACCGCGGCAGATGCACATCTCCTGGGCTCAAAGGTGACCAGCAGCCACCCATACAGCCCAGTCCGCTGGCTGGACACCTGCAGCTTCAGCAAACATACGCCTCGGCTCTGCAGTTCTTTCGGAGAGATGTTTTCCTGCCAAGACCTGGAAGACACCCAACACTGAGTGTTCAATATTTACGCTTTACCAGCTTTTACTTCCACCCATACAAGACGAATGTAAAAGAGAGAGAAAAGCAGACAAAGATCTGTGCACGGGCACTAAATAAAACCCAAAAGGGCTCCACATCTGCCCTGGCATCCTGCTGCTCCCCCACCCCTCCTGCAGGTAGAGCTGGTCTCTTTACCAGCTCTACTCACACTCTGCGCCCTGGTTCTCCCGGGTCACTAAGTCCATCGGTGCCCCCACCAACCGCTCGCCATCTGTACCCACATGAATCCACTCTGCCTCTCATCCTCACCACCATAACCCTAGTTCAAGCCACACCCCTCATCGTCTGGATCAGACAGAGCTTCCTGCCTCCTAACTGCCTGACCTCGGGGGCTTGCCCTGACCAGCTGCAAGCGGGAGCACCCAGGAAATCCACCCTATCCACTCCCCTTTGAAACTTAATAAAGGAAAACCTCACTAAAGTGGAGTGGGGAGGCCAGAAGGGGGAGCTGCACCATCCCCTGTCAGTTACAGACCCTGACAGGGCAGAATCCTCAATCAAGCAACAGGGAAAGATGCACATCGCATACCCTACAAGAAATCCACCACCCCTCCAACTCATCCAGTGAGCAAAGGTCATCACCCTGAACTCCTGCCTTTCTGTAATGGACTTCCATTCAAAACAATCCCTCCCACGCCCTCCTTCTCCGTAAAATAAAGGTCCTCTCCTTCATTTGTTGCTCTAACCTAGAGTTTGTGCCACAGCTTTCTTGGCCGGAATTTCAATCTCTGCCATTATGAATAAACCCATCTTGCTAGTAAAATAACTGGCCATTTTATTTTTAAGGTTAACACCCACACCCCCACACCCCCCTGCACTTAACTGCTCAGAGAGCCATCCTCTGCACACAGAATACAACACAAGCTCACCCACAAGGCCCTCCTCAATCTGAGCGCTGCCTGCCTCTCCGTGGGTGCTCACTCTCCTCTGGGTACTGAGCTGAGCGCCTGACAGCAGACCATCTCGTGCTCACCCCAAACCTGTGAAGTGGGAAGTGGCGAGGTGGCTAAAGGTCAGAAATGTAACCTGCAAAATCCCACAGCCATACCTGGAGCTGGGGTTCTACCCAGGTTGATATGACTGCAAAAGCCCTTAATCTTCTAATCAAAAGCCTCTCACACAAACCCATCCACATTTGCAGTGCAGTGAATCAGACTGCCTAGCCTCCAACCCGACTCCACCTGTGTCACCTTGGGCAAGTTACTGAACTGCTCGGTGTCACGGCCTTCTCAAGCACAAAATCAGAGAAACGCTGAGGGTTAAAGAAACGAACATACAGAGAGAGCATTTACAGAACTCTCTAAGTGTTCGCGGTCACTGTTTCGGCTAAATGAATATTCACATCCAGGGAGCAAGCAGGGCTCTCTCTAGCCCCCACACCTCATCCAGGATGGCTCCTCCACCCACCTCACTCATTTTTGAGCTTGGCACCACCTGTCCCTGAAGCCAGCCTTAGCCTCGCACTCCCCAGGGGGAGCTGGTCTTCCTCCACACTTGCTCAGCCCTTTCTGAGAGCCCGCACTCGCGCGGACACACAAAGCGTGAGTGCACCTAGATGAATGGCACCATTTACAAGGACCCAGGCCCACCCCCTGCCCAGACCCAGGCCCCTGCCCAGGTCCCCTGCCCAGGTCCCTGCCCAGGCCCTGCCCAGGTCCCTTGCCCAGGCCCACCCACCCTGCCCAGGCCC